TTTCCTTCTTCCCAATGAATGAACCAGCTTGCAGATTGACAGGCTTGACCAGGACACCAGCTAAGAGCCACAGAAGCAAATTCACCATATGAGAGGCCAGTGGATTTTTCCAGCTGGAAAGTCTACTGGTTGACAAAACTCCTAGAGTAAAAGATAAATTGTTGTTTTCACAAATCTTGCAGAAGAATCTAGTGCCAGCAAAGACTGATGCAAATATGGAAGGCAAAATAAACACCTGCGGTTTACCTCACAGCGCTAGTCGGGGATGTGAAGGCTCAGGATGCTTCTTTGTGCCTAGGCTTTGGGCTTCTCTGTATGAACTGGAGCCAGTTCCCTTCCTCAGCTTCTCGTATGGTCACAGAGGGGGCTGGAATAGGTGCTCCCGACATTGACGGCACCTATGGTGCATCTATTCAGCAGATTCTTTCCTCTTAAGGGTTGAGGCTGAACTGCAAAGCAACTAGCTGGGTCCCTGGGTGAATGACAACCTATCTTATGTCACCTGCAAGATGAGGAGGAGAAGAATGTGGACTTAGAGAGTTGCCAGGAGAATGAGCCCAGCAATGCAGGTGACACACCCAGCCTGCCCAAAGAAAGAGCTCGGCAAATTGTGGCTCTCGTAGTCATTGTAGTAGTAACAAGATGAGCAACTGGCTGGATTGTTTTGGGTTGGTAAATTCAGATTCTTTGTGTGTGTGTGTGTGTGTTGCTGAGGATTCAACCCAGGGCCTTGTGCATGCAAGGCAAGCACTCTACCTACTGAGCCCCCTAGACTCAGATTCTTGAGCAGTATCTGCCTTGGAACCTCACCCTAACTTGACACTCCAATGCTGACTTGGATCTAAGGTAGTTTCAGCTTGAACTTGGCTTTTGAAGGGCCTATGGTCAACTGCTACTCAGTTCCTGATTGAATGGGTAACAGAAGCACCTGGGAAGAGGTCACCTCTGCAGGCACCCAGAGGGCGACTTGAAGTTCCCGTGATACGACCAGAATCACCACGCCCCAGTGGTGGGTTAGGGGCCGACTTTTCTTCCTTGGTAGTAGTGGGCAAGTGTCATTTTCCCATCATTAGGAGGAGTGACACAGATCCATGACCACAGTCCTTCTCCACCATGAGAAGAATGAGCTTGTTCCTTTTCAACAGCAGTTTCCATTTTTACCTCAGAATTTTTGGTAAACAGCCTCCTGTGCTAGCTAATGGCTTTATTGGCTCACCTCCTACATTCAGCCTCTTGGGCACACAGAGGAGTCTGGGTTAGGAGAAAAGTCCAAAAGGATTCTGTCTCCCAGGTGGTTTTCTTACACTTCTTTGGGAAAACCTTGAGCTCCAGTCTGGTGTGCGTCGGCTGCCCTCTGCTGGGCAGTGCTGGCATGGCATGGTCTCCCCGCTGGCAGGCTAATTCTCCAGGGATGAAGAGGCTCATTGACTGAGCCACGGAAATACTGACGGAAGAGGAACAAGGTCATAGACCTGGGTGCTGGGGACTTATCACAAAGCAAAACAGATGCATATCCCTATTCTTCTGGGTAATATTCTTGCAGAGTGATAAGTGCATGGAAAAAATTAAAAAGTAGGATATGCAAAGGGATTGGAAGTGCTGGGGGGGTGGGAAAGGTGAGTTGCAAATTTAAGTAGTTATCAGTTTTTGAGAAATGACTTGAAGGAAGTGACGGGATTTGCGCCATGGAAGGAGAGTCACCGGCAGCAGAGAGGATGGAAGTGCCAAGCCCTGAGATTGTCGTGAGACTCCCTGCATCAGGGAGTCCCCAGGTCGCTGGTGGCTGGAGGGAGGGAGCCTGAGAGGAGGAGTCTGAGAGGTGACTGGAGAGAAGAGTGGGGTCTCGCAGGCCACGGGTAAGAACTTGGCTGCACTCGTCTGCTCTGGCCGCTGTAACAAATACCCCAGGCTGGGTGGCAGAAACTCAGGATTTATTTCTTCACCGTTCTAGAGCCTGGACGTCAAGATCAAGATCAGGGAGGTGCTGGCCAGCTGGGCTTCTGGGGACGGCTCTTCCTGGCCTGCAGACCACTTCCCCTCTCTCTGTGCATTTCCTCAGTGCGCACATCTAGCGGGGAAGGACCAACTGTGAGTCTGTAGCATTGGCTTTTGCTGCAGAGAAGGAAGAGAGAGACCCCAACGCCAAGACATCCAGAAAACTTGGACATCAAGAACACCAGCCCCTCCAGCAAGTCTCTTTATTCTGTGAAAATGTAAATAAGACGGGGGGGAACGAAGTCAAACCATCTGTGCCAGGTGATGTGCCAGTGTGGGTGTGAACTGGGTGCACCTCACACCATGACGGGTGTGATGCTGAGCCAACGCTCACCGAGGATCTGAGGCGTCATTCTGTGCCTAGCGTCAGCCCCACGCAGCAACCTGCACCCAGAGCACCTGCCTGAGCACCCGCTTCCCAGGACCTGCTGGCCTCCCCCCAGAGCCCCACCTCTCCTGTCCCCACACCTCTGCCCAGGCCCAGGAGCCCCAGCCCATCCTCTGCCTCCAGCAGGCTGTGCTCCCTCTTCCTCAGCCTCTCCTCCTGCTCCTCGCACTTCCACCATCCACCCTTCTGAGGACGGGAGCCAGGCCTCCACCTAGGCTCCCATGGAGGCAGCAGGGCTGGGGAGACCTTTACGGCCCTGCCTGCAACGAGGTGACCATCTGCTGGCTCACTGGACACCTGACTAATACTGGCTGCAGTGCAGAGAGGTGAGAGCTTGGGAGGCCAGTGGGGTGGCTCCGACTCCCTGCCCTGCCACTTCCTCCCCATCTCCCGGGTTCCACCTCCATGGGAAGGTCACTACCCAACTCCTGAGTAGTTGTGGGGAATAAAGAAATCAATCCATTATTCATGTCTTTGATATTTACTGAGCACCTACTATGTGCCATATGCCCATGTGTGCTGAAAGCATAATAAGTTATATTCCAGTTGGATGTAAGGTTGACTGGCATACAATGTTGAATTTTCAAAAACAGGTGTTCAGCCTTCTAAAGGACATATTCCATATGCTCCTGATTGTTAAAACTATGTGTAGGTCTACACTCACATTAAAAGAATGATTGTTAAGAGATAGATACTATATAATGCCATTTATGTTCTCTTAAAAGAGGCACATAATGACGTACAAATTACACCTAGCGTATATCTGAGTAGCAATACTATTAAAATCTGGAACAGAAAGATACACTCTAACCACTTCATGCTAACACCCACCATGGAAGTAGACACTGACTATATCCACGACATTCCATTTCTCTTTAAGAAATAAACAGAGACAAATATGGAAAATGATAACTTGCACTGACTTCTTCGGCCTGCCATTTCATTTTCTCAGTAGACTTTGCTGGATTCAAATTGCTCCTATTTTGTTGAGGACTTTTGCACCAAAGTTCATGAGAGATGGTGGACAGTGGTTCTCTCGTACCATCCATAACTATTTTGGAATCAGGGTGACACTAGTTTCAAAAATGAGTTGGGAAATGTCCCTTCCTCTTCTATTTTCTGGAAAAAGGGGTGTAAAATTAGTATTAATTATTTAAACGTCTGCAAGAGTCCTCCAGTAAAGCTACCTTGGAATCCTATTACATTATGAACTCTGCCTCTGTAATGGTTACAGGGCTATTCAGGTAGTCTGCTTCATCTTGGTTGGATTTGTGTAATTTGCAGTGTTTGAGGAATTGGCCAATTTCTTTTAAGGTGTGTTGAATTTATGAGCATAGAGTTACTCAAAGTATCTGCTTATTATATTTTTAATGACAGCAGGATCTGTGGTGATATCCTTTGTGTAATTGCTGATACTGGTAGTTGCTGACACTCATTTTTAACTTTTGTCCATCTTCCTAGAGATTTATCAGCTCTTTCTGTTCCATCGTTTTTTTCCTATTATTTTCCCACTTTTGATTTCATTGATTCTGCTTCTATTTTGATTTCCCTTTTCTACTTGTCTTGACTGTAATTTTGTGCCTTTTTTCTCGTTTCCTGAAGTGAGAACTTTGACTATTGGTTAATTTCCTGTGCTCTAAGGTTAGCATTTTTAGTTGCACCTCAGAGTGCCAAGCATTTCTTATTTTCTTTGAGATTCTCTGACCTATGAAGTATTCAGTGATATGCTGTTGAACTTCGGGAGGGTTTGGAGATTTTCTTGTTGTCTTTCTGTCCACTGAATTTCAATAATCACCTCAAAATCTTTGAGGTTGTATCCCCGTGAGAACAGGACTGTCCATTTCTTCTACTATTTATATCACTCAAACTGAGAACAGGGCAAAAGTAGATGATCAATAAGTAAAGATGGGTGAATGATTAAAATATTTAATTTAAAAATCAAAAAGGGGAGGGAGATATGAGAAAAATCAATGGTGATCATCACTAGGTGGAGCAACACAGTTTCTTCTTATCTTCTCCTCTTACATTTTATAGTTTTCAAATTCTCTGCAATGAGCATGCACTACTTTTACCATCAGGTAAAGGAATTATAAAAGTGAGGATTGCTCTTTCTGATGGTTCCCATGCCCTCCCTGCCAGGTTATATCAGAATTTGAACTAGTGAAAAAACTGAGGATGAGAAGCAGGGTCACCAAAGGATCCTCCAGGAGGTCCCAGAGCTAAATTGCCCCAGGCTTTGGGTCAGGGGAGGATGCAGCTAGCCACTCAACTGGCATCCGCTTCTGTAATAGTTGCAGCAAACGCCTTATCATTGAGGTCCTGTGCACCCTGAACCCCAGGGTCCATTTCAGACTTTCTCTCCTCACTGTGGAGAGCCCCTTGAGATCCCATGAATTAGAGGAAACTTCTTTCTAAATCCACCCATCAAAATTACTTTGACACTTTGGGGAAGTAGTGTTGGCATTTACCTTCAGGGCTTAAAAGATAACCAAAAAGTAGGAGAGAACAGAGAAGAGATATTGGGTTTTTGTAGGGTTTTTTTATTGTTTGTTTTTTGTTATTCTTAATATAACCATCTTTTTCACCTTCAGCCGCAATCTCTTCCTGTTTTCATTAGGTAAACCCTTTGGGAAACTGATTGGATGAGCCAATTGGATGATTACCCCAGCTGGCCAGGGTCACCACCCAAACAGTTCCTAGGTGTGGACAATCTCTGAAGATGGGTGAAGATGCTTTTCTACTTTTGACAATAATGGTAAGAACTGGTTTTGAGGTTTTTGGGGGGGTTATTTGTCTGTTGGCTTTTTAAATTTTCATTCAATGGAGCAATGGCCTAGGTCTTCACATCTTTTCACTTTTCCCCCCTTTTGAGATAACGTGATTTCCTGCAAGGTCCAGGATTTCTTGGGGACCCAGTCTTGAGCAAGTTTATAACCCAGTACCTGGGGACATTGCAGGTACCATTGCTGGGTGTGCTCCACAAGTGGCAGAGAAGGGAGTGTCCTTAGATCTGAGCCAAAGGGATCAAGGTGGGTAAGCAGACCTATGTCAATCTATCCAAGACTTAACGAATAGCCAAGGATGTGAGAATCTGGAAAATGATAACCTGACTGGGGGGAGGGGTGAAGAATCCATTCTCTAGGGACAATTCAATTCCTATCAAACAAAACAGACTATGTAAAAACCAGCCCAAAATAAAGCATTGTAATGTAAACCAGTCTGTGCATTTAAAAAAATCTTCTGACTTCTGTAATTCTTGAACACTTAACCTTTTGTTGCTATTGTTGAGAACAACTAAAATTGAGTATGTCAAAAAGACAATAGGTTAGTTTTAAGTTTAATTTTTTATTAACAATTGCTGTTAAATTAAATTCAAACACATCACCCACTCCTTCATAGCTCCCTGTGGAGACCACCCTCACCCACGGTGGGGACTACTCACAAGATATTTCTGCTCTCTTCTGAGTATGCAAGGATTTTGCCTTCCTGCCTGTCAAAGGTGTGGCCATGAAGCTTTGGACCATGACAGAAACTTCAGGCCGGCATGCAATCTGCTCCATCTTCTCCATCTTCTTGTGGATGCAGGTATCTCGATGAAGCCGTCACAGGTCCCAAAGTGTTATGACCTGCAGACCCACAACGGTTGGCGCTGTGGACTGAATGTGGCTTGCCTCCTCCCAAGCTCTTGTGGAATTTGGAGGTCACTGGGGGTAGCGTTGGGAGGTGGGGCGTTTAAAGGGCGATCAGGTGAAGATCGAGTCACTCCTTTCTCAAAGGAGAGGGTTAATTCTCAGGTGGAGGGAGTTATCGGGAAAGTGATAAGTGACTGGTTTCCTTGGCTTTTCTCTCATCCTCTTTTACCACGTGATTCCTTCTGGCCTCCCACCATGTTATAACTCAGCACACGAACGTGATACATGAAGCCAAGCCAGCTGCTACCATGTTCTTGGACTCCCAGCTTCCAAAATCATGGAGAAAAATAAAATTTTTTTCTTTTATAATTTACCAGTCTCATGTATTCTGTTATATCAACAGAAGACGGACTAAGACAGATGGGTACTGTGAACAGGAAAAAACATTTATTGTACAAAGCTACTGAGATCTAGTGGTAGTCACTGCAATATCACCTATCCTTGCTGATGCTCCCATGTGCACATGTGCATGTGTGTACGCATACACTTGCCTCTCTTGTCCAAAGGAGGCACCCAAGGCCAAGAAAGAATATAAGGTAGATGTGATCTCTGTCCCTGAAAAGCTTATGAGCTGCCTCGGCCAATGGGCTCTCTGGCAGTGTACTGTGATGTTGATGACAAGAAGTGGACAGTGCAAGAGTAAAATGACCAGCTGTCTACACGGCTGCACGGATTGAATCCGATGGGGCCAGGATGGATGGATGGAAGGGCAGCCTGGGGGCCAGGTGGCTCCTCTTGGCCCCTCCTGATCCATTCTTGACCTTCTCCATCCTGCCCTCTGCCCTGGGCATGCCACATCCCAGGCTCCTTCCCCCCTGCCTCTCGGGTGAGTCCAGTCACTGGGAACTTTGGTATCAGATAGCAGGGAAGGGGGAAGGTGAGGCTCGGATCACTTCCCTGTCTCCCTCCTGGCAGGGTCATCTCAGGCCAGCTGCACCCCTGGGCTGAAGGTTCCTCTGAGGCCCCTGCTCTCCTTGATCATCTTCTACCTGATCCAGAAAGTGCGCGCCCTGTCAGCAGCCCTCAGGTCCAGGGTGGAAAGAGCCTCACGGTAAGTTACTGACCCCAGGACCCTGTAGCATGCCCTTCAGTTTCCCAGGACCTCACCCACACCCTTGTAAATGGTCCTGATATAAAAGTGCCCTCTTGTTTAGTCCTAACGAGTGGACCTCGATGGGGGAGATGGCATAGAAAGAGTGATCTCGCTGTAATGACAGGGTCAGCTGGTAAAAGGGACAGGAAGGTTTAAACCAACAACATTCTTCATTAAGAAATGAAGACTCAATGGCCTTGCTTCTCCCTACCTTCTCTAAAATCAAAGGAGCACTGGCGGCCAAGGGCTGCACCTCTGACGAGTGAGGGGCCCTGGGGAGCACAGGTCTCCCAAAGCCCTTTTCCAGTGCCGGGGCCAGGAGTCAGCCGTGGGTCAGGTCAATGCCAAGCCAAGGGCTTTCTCCACCCCCTTTCTCTGGCAAAGTTGACACTAGAAAACTAGACTCTCTGTTCAACTTGAACCCCGGGCAGAGGCTTAATCTCTAGTTGCTGGAGGAAAATTCTGACCTTCCTTTTGAGCTCCCACACCTAGCATGGGGCTGTGCAGGAAGAAGGCAGCTTCTCCTTGCTCCCTTCCCACCCACCACGAGTTCTTTTTTGGACCTGTGAAAGATGCACTGGATTCCTTCATTGCTTGGCTGGTTTTCCATGTGGGAAGCCAAAGGGGCCTTCCCAGTGAGCTGGATCTGGGCGCGTTCTAGGCCACACTGTCTCCTGACACCCCACGGGGTCCCCGCTCCTTACCTGCATCCCACTCTGGGATGGTGTGCTGGGAACAGGCTGGCACCTGGAGCTCCAGCATTTCCCCGAAGCGGCTGGAGGAGCAGGCGGCAGATTACAAAGTTGGGACCGGATGGGGGAGGGCCGGTCGGGCATGCCAGGGCGTCAAGTTAGAGGAAGCGCAGGCGGCAATTGGGAAGATTTAGGAGTTCTCTGGCTGTCATCAGGTTTTAGTGTATTGCCATTGTCGTTGCTTGTAGTTTTTCCAAAGCAGGTAAGAGGGGGAAGAACCAAGGCAGGGAGTGCCCAGGTGCCATCTCTGCACAGCTGGGCGGAAGGCGAGGTGCAGAGGAAGGCTGGGGAGGCCGTTAGCTCCTCAGGCATCACAAGGTGCATGCCAGGGCCTGGGCTGGTCCCACAGAGGGACAGTAAAACTGTCTGCAGTATAACTTGCCTTGACGATGATTCCCGTGGAATTTAAAATCAGTAGAGACCAATCAGTCAGCAGACAGCAGAGAAGTGTTTCATTATCATCATGAGGAAAACCAGGCTGTTGACTAGCGTAACAGTTTGGTTGTTGACAGGTGAAAGAGTTTGAAAAGAGGGGAGAGGAGAGGGGAGACAAGAAGCAAAAAGCTAGGGCCTGCGCCTGCTGTCTTATACCAAAGTTCCCAGTGACTGGACTCACCCCAGGCTGCCTTGTCTGGGCGGATCTGTTACGTGGACGCACCTTCTGGAGGGGGAAGAAGGAACAGTTCTCAAACGCTGGAGTTTCTCTTAGCAATGACCAAACTCTAGGTCCCCATGGCGCCTCCTCCAGAGCAGCAGCCTCACAGCTTACTAGGCACATGGCTACCCTGGACCTGCTTGGAAGGTAGGCTGGGATTCCATGGATCTGGCCCTGTCTTCTGTATTTTGAACAAGCCCCTTGCTCAGGTTGATTTTGCTGGTCCCTGGAACACACTTGGAATCAGAGGATGCCAACCATGCTCAGGGACACTGCCCTCCAAACTAATGAAGAAGGAGCCCACGTGGCTCTTCAGAGAACTTGGTATCCAACTCCTGCCCTAACTGTCCACTCCAAGAGTGAACAAAGTACCAGTTAATCAGGGACAGGGACAGTTGTCCCCAGGGAAGGGTAGCTACTCTGTCCTGGGCCTCCCTGGCTGTCCCCTCGCTACACACACGATTGCACACACGATTGTGCAAATCACACAAACTCACACATCCACAGACATGCTTCTACTCACACACACACACACACATACACACACACACACACACACACACACACTTACATCTGACGACCACATTTTTGGGGGTGTGTTAATACTGTCTGTCAATCTAGTGAAACAAAGTCTTGGTCGCTCTCTGACCTTAGCTTTGTTTGTC